AATGGAGAGAGAAAGGTAAATAACATATTATTTCACTTATATGTGGATTCTGAAAAATAAATGAAACAAAACAGTACCAAGAGCAAATTGGTAGTCACCAGAGGGAAGGGGAGTGAGGGGTTGGGAGAAATAAGTGAAGAGAATTAAGAGATAGAGACTTGGGGTACTCTTTCTACCCCCTTCTGATGTCTATGTCAGAAGCTTTCTCTATCTCCTTATACTTTAATAAAACTTTATTGCACAAAAAAAAGAGAGACTTCCAATTATAAAATAAATAAGTCACAGGGCTGTGATGTACAGCATAGGGAATATTGTCAATAATATTATAATAACTTTGTATGATGACAGATGGTTACTGGACTTATCATGGTGATTAAGTCCTAAACTATATAAATGTTGGATCACTATGTTGTACAACTGAAAAAGTAAAGTCCCTCAGTCATGTCCGACTCTTTGTGACCCCATGGACTGTAGCCCACCAGGCTCTTCTGTCCATGGAATTTTCCAGGCAGGAGTACTGGAGTGGGTTGCCATCTCCTTCTCCAGGGGATCTTCCCGACCCAGGATTTGAACCTGGGTCTCCCGTATTGCAGGCAGACACTTTACCATCTGAGCCACCAAGGAAGCCCCAACTGAAACTAATATAATTGAACTAATATAATTGACTATAATACAACTGAACCTAATATAATTCTGTATGTCAACTGTGGGGTTTCCCCAGTGGTCCAGCTGGTAAAGAACCTTCCTGCCAATGCAGGAGACACAAGAGCTGTGGGTTCGATCCCCAGGTCAGGAAGATCCCCTAGCAGAGGGCATGGCAACCCACTCCAGTATTCTTGCCTGGAAAAATTCTATGGACAGAGGAGCCTGGCAGGCTACATACAGTCCATGGGGTCTCAAATAGTCAGACACAACTGAGCATGAACGTGCAAACATGTCAACTGTAGTGCAATAATAAAGAAAAAACCTTGAAAAACAAATAATAAAAATCAATTGGCATAATAGAATAAATGCAGTTGAAATTTTGATCCGTGATTGGTTGAATCTATGGATGTGAAACGTGAATATTGAGGGCTGACTGTTTTCCCTTTTTATATAATGATAAATGGAACTACATGTTGGTGCTTAACCTTGCTATTTTCTTGTAAAAAATTCCAAAAGTGGAATTACTGATTGAACTTTGTGTTAATTTAACTTTTCAGATATATGGCAAAATTGCACTCTAAAAAGTTTACACACCCACCTACAATACCTTCATACCATTAATTAGTAGTAAATGTTCACCAATCTTCCTTGTGAAAATGATGTCTTATTTCATATTTCTATAATTACTAATAAAATTTAAATTTTACAATTTTCATATGCTTATTGATCTTTTGTGTTCTTTTATTTGCCTATTCATGTCTGTTGCCCATATTTCTATCATACTACTCATCTTTATAGATCAAGGAAATTAACCACTGCTTTTACATACTTGATACCAATATGTATTTTTTAGTTCATGATTGTCTTCAGATTATATTATTATGTTTGTTTCATGTAAGAAAACTTAAATATTTTCAAGTCTATCAGAATTTTCACTTCCATATTCTTTCATGTTCTAAAAATCTCCTTTGGATCTTCAAAAATTAAAAAAAAATGTTCACCTACAATATTTCAACATCTAACAATATTTCAATAATTTCTTTTTTTGTTTTTCTATTGACATATTTAATGCATCTGGAATTTATTTTGGTTTCAACTGGTAATTTAACTTTATTATCTTTTCCAAATGAGTAACCAGTTGTTCTGGCACCATTTAATGAATAAATCATCCTTTCTTTGCTGATTTATAATGATGTATTGCATATGCAGTCTGTTTTTTACTTCTCTGGTCTGATCAATCTGTGCTGGAATCAATACCAAACTGTTGTAATCATTATGGAGTTATAATACTTAAAATGTCTGGTAGGAAAAGTCTCATTACTCTTTTCAAATAATATCTTGGCAATATCACACATTTTATCCCTTTAGATAAACTTTAGGATTATTTTGTCAAAATTTTGTTCAGGTTTGTTTAAATTTGTAGATTTGACTGGGAGAAAAGCTGGCATCCTTGCAATATTCCATCTTCCCATCCAGGAACACTGTACATCTTTCCATTTAACTCCAGTCTTCATTTACATACCTCAATAAAGGGTTTGGGGGTCAGAGCTACAAGGAGACAGATACAGAGTTTTCTGGAAGTAAGAGCCCTATAATAGAGTCCAGAGATGAAGTGGGCTAAAGTTTAAGTAAAAATGGGGCAGGGCTGCTATAAAAGGGATTCAAGCTTTGTATGGAGTAGAGATAGTGTGACCAATGCTTAGTTATTTCCAATATGTGAGATTCATAGCCTTATGCAGTCTGATATGGAACAAATAAATGGTGTGGTGCCAGGCTGGTCAATTTCATTTTACTGAGCATTGTTTTCTTCAGCTGTATAATGAGGTATGTTGTAATCCCTGTTATACTTAATTTGTACAAAATTGTTATTAACCTTTGCAAGCTAATCAAATGGGATGGATTTTTATTTCATATTATTATCACTTATATATTTTATTATTACTTTATGTTATATGTTATATAGTATATAAATAAATATGTATCATATGTGCTTTGTGCTTAGTTGCTCAGTGGTGTCTAACTCTTTGTGACCCCATGGACTGCAGCCCATCATGCTCCTCTGTCCATGGGTATTCTTCAGGCAAGAATACTGGAGTGGGTTGCCATGCCCTCCCCCAGGTGATCTTCCCACCCCAGAGGCTGAACCCAGGTCTCCCACATTGCAGGCAGATTCTTTACCATGTGAGTCACCAGGGAAGCTGTATCATATAGTAGATTGTAAATATATCCTTTACATGCACTAAGAAAGTGAAAATTCACGTGACTCCCTTTAATGGCATATTCACTTTATTGCAGTAGTCTGGAACCACACCTGTAATATCTCTGAGATGTCTTCAGGATTGCAGAAACACTGATTCTGTGAGGGTGTCCCAGTTCTAAAACATTCACAGCACTAGAAATGAACCCACTGGAATTGGTACAGGGCCTGCCTTCTAGGAGTTGCCACCCAAAAGCTGTATGGCAGTTATCATAGTTATCATATCATCCTTTCTATACACATATTACCATCCTCAGTTTGAAGCACAAAGAAGCTGTTTGCAAATTATGTGTTCTGTTTATACAAATAAAATCTTGCAGTATGGTAGAAAGATTATTGACCTGGAGGCCTTAATTTTGTCATTGTTGAATGAAAGTGATGATAGTACCTACCTCAAAGCATTGCTGAGGTGATTTATTTAAATAGCACATGTAAATCCCCTCACATAGCATTGTTCATAGTAAATGCCTATTAAATGGTAGTTTTTCTTCCTTCTGGTGCCTCTAATTCAATGTTCTCCAGTCAAGTCACCTCCCCAGAACTCATCCTTGAAATGAAAATGTTGTTTTGGGGTGAACTTTAACAGTTCCTTCAAGCCCAGCATTTTGGAGTCCTTTGACAAAGGGAAGAGAAAAAGAGAGGGAGGGAGGAAAAGGAAATTTTGTAATTTGGTTACACTGAATCTCCAACATAAAATAACCTACTGCAATAGATGAGTTTTCTGTGACAGTTATGTACATTTTAGGCTGACTGAAGAGAGAGGAAAGCTGAGCTGTAGCTAAATTTGTGGGTTCCCCTGATATCAAATAACAATTGTTCTTCAATTTTTCTTTCTTTTCCCTAAAACAAACATTCTTCCCCTGTCAAAAGAAGCCTCCTTAAAATCTTGATCTATTCCATAAAGTAAAGCATGGCAGCAAATGAGAAAAAAAAATACCAAGGACTTGGAGGAAGAAAGGGGTGGGATGAGGGGAAGAAAAATCTCAGGCTTGGGGCAGGACATGCATAAGTTCTGCATGTTTTAGAATAGCAGGTATTACTATCTATTTCTGCTAATAACTCTATGTGCCTCTAGATCTCTCTGTTCAACTTCAGTATTCATTAAGTCAGTGTTTATTAAAGACCTACTGTGTGCCAGGCCTGTGTTAGGAACAAGGAATGAAGTATGTGTTTTTGAGTGGCACTCCATGTTTTTCTTTGAACAGCTATGATCCTAAGGATTTCTGAGTGTGAAAATGTGTATGGTGTGTTTGTGTGTATATATTTCTATGTCTCTCTCACAACTTCACGTGTACATGACAGTGATTGTTTTTCTTCTTCTGTCTTCAGAAGACTTCCTTTCATTTGCTGTGTTTACAAAGAGTGGGCTTTATCCCTTTGATTTTTATACCCTGAAAGCTTGGTGGTATGATCATTAACTTTTAAAAAATTAATTTATTTATTATAATTGGAGGCTAATTACTTTACAATATTGTGGTGGTTTTTGCCATACATTGACATGAATCGGCTATGGGTGTACATGTGTCCCCCTGTCCCGAACCCCCCTCCTATCTTCCTCCCCATTCCATCCCTCTGGGTTGTCCCAGTGAACCGACTCTGAGTGCCTTGTTTCACGCATCAAACGTGGACTGGGCATCTATTTCACATATGGTAATATATATGTTTCAATGCTATTCTCTCAAATCATCCCACCCTCGCCTTCTCCCATAGAGCCCAAAAGTCTGTTCTTTATATCTGTGTCTCTTTCGCTGTCTCACATAACAATTAAAAATCACAGGAAGTTCTCTTTTATAGAAGGATTATCTGTACTTGTATTATGAAAAACAACCACGTTGTGTCATCCTAATAAAGGAAGTATTAGAAGGACCTGAACTGTCCATCCCTTTGAAAAAACACCTATGAAAATCAAACAATACAGCACTGAATTAAATCATCCTGGTTTAATAGAGTTTTGTGATCAAATTGTATGAGACCATTCCCTGTCCACCTCTCTCATTGGGCAGGATATGTCTCACACCTTTTCTGTCTAGAAATACTTTCTGGAGAGGCTCTAGCGACACATTAACGGGTCTGTCTACTCTTATATTTGTTCTCCCAGGAAAACAGAAGTACCTGTGTGCCAGCAGAAATGATTGTACCATTGATAAATTCCGAAGAAAAAATTGTCCATCTTGTCGTCTCCGGAAATGCTATGAAGCAGGGATGACTCTGGGAGGTATGATACTTTTCTTCCTCTTTTTCATTCTTCCTTTCCCTCCCTTATTCTCTTATTCTCTCTTTAAACCAGATTTTCTCTTTGATGCTTCTAAGGAGGCCAGTCATGCTCTGAAAACAGGCTGACCCCTTCACATCCAACATGGCCATCAGTCATCTGGTGCTTTTCTTTATCCTTAAACATGCTACACCACACTGTGGGGCTCATCATAGGAGCAGGAGGTGTGAAGCAGGGATCAGGACCCATCAGAGGATGAGTGAGTATGGACATGACTTGAAGGGCTTCCCAGGGGACATAATGGTACTGACCTTATGTTGTTAAATGATGGCTAGGACGAGAGAACTAAGGAATTCAGAATAGTCGCAGGTGCAGGATGACCCAGGCACAAGCTGGCCCTGAACACCCAGGAATATTCCTCAGTTAACTGCTGCCTGTGTTGTGTGGTGCTGGCCACCTGGAATGAAAAGCTGCTTTTCTTTGGAATCTATGACTAGGCTGCCAAGCAGAGCCAATTTCCTATCCCACATCTCCCAGGGATGAGCAGGCTTTTTAATCATTTCCCTTTCTTTGCAAATCTATTGACAATTTCCAAAAGCATTTTTTTAGTAACAGAGTAGTTTGACAGAATGAAGATACAGCTCTTTCAAGGGTAATCCCCCATCAAAATGCTCTCTGTCCTCTAGTCTGTGTCTACCATGATTTTTGTCACCATTACAGAAAGATTTGACTGACACTTACATTTTCCCCCTTCAAATTCGTATTTCTTCATGTTTGTATCTGTTCACTGTCAGGTTCCTTCCTACCACTTGCCACTTCCCGAAAGATGCACCTTTCATGAGAAAAGCAAGCTTATTAGTTTACTTTGATTTGGAAATTTGAAGAAAGACAAGCCTGTTTCTGAACACCTGAAACTGTGGCCTCATACCTGATTACTTATTATCATCCCGGAAAATCCAAGTGCTTATAATTCTACCCTCTCCCCTCCCCTCCTCAAGACTGATTTAGAGTACCTGTTTATCATTGGCTTTCTGCAAGGTACTCAATACCTTGTCTGCCTATGTGCATATTTACAGAAATCAACATTGTAGTTTTCTAACCATGTGTGGGTCTTCATGTGGGTAGCTGTATCCTTGCCTCCTTGAAGGCTAGTAATATTCTTTAAACAAACCAAAGTATTAAAAATGAATTTACACAGGCTCAGTTTGAGACAGTCTTTCAAATAGTGTCTAGTACTCCTAGACATAGCATGCAGATGCTCTACAAGTGGTTTTCCAGGCAACTACATCAAATGAGATTCAAATCTTTGAGAAAAATAAACTTTATTCTTCTTTGCTTGGCTTACTACAGAGAAATCCTACAATTGTGGTCTACAGTGAGGAGGAAAAAACAGGGCTGGGGGTAGAGGGAGAGTGCAGGACACCCAGGAAAGTTGACAAAGGAATTGTCAAGATGAAATGAATGTTGTCACAACATTCACTGTGGTGGGATCACCCCAGGGTGAGGATTCTCATATACTCAACTCTCAATTATTTAGCCCTTTCTGAATTATGTATAAGAGATGGGGGCTTCTGGATAGACAGCCCCTTAGTTTTCCATTTGCTGATACGAATTGCAAACCTGCTTTAACACAGGTAAAGTTTAATGATAATAAAAGTCTTCATAACATTTGGGCCCAAATCCTAAAATTAGTTTCATGTGTCAGCTAATATCGTCCACTGTAAAGCATCTGTAACATGATTACAGTGAATCCCTTGTGAAAAGAAGTATGTATATAACAGACAATTTCACTAGTCCATATAGCATTCTGACATAAATCTATAGATTAATTTCTTGAAGAGAGTGGTAAAGTAAGTTTTTAAATTGATTTATTAAGGTATTCAAATTTGAATGAGCTTGGTCAACACAATGAAAAGAAGTTGAGAAGTCCTGTGGCTGGCTCTGGTTTCAGTTCCCTTTTTACATTTACTGAATGTCTCCTATGTACAAGGAACCATGCTAGGCAATAGAGCTTCAGGCAGGCAAACTTCAAGAAATGTTCACAAGATACAAGGATTCTTGATGTTTTGTAAATGGTCTTGCCTTTGGAGTCAGGCAGACCTAGGTTAAAGGCCCAGCACTATTATTCACTGTTCCCCCTCTAAGCTTCAATTTCTTCATCTGTAATTTAGACATACCATTCTCACGGAGCTGTAATGGGGATCTGATGACATGATGAATGTGAACATCCTTGGCAAATGACAAAGTGCTAGACAAATGTAAGGACTTATGATAGTAAGGTCAGTGGTAATTTAGCTGGTAAACCTGTTCACAGCACTTCCCAGTTGGATTTAACGCTGTTACTTGGCATGCCCTATAATACGCAATAGCTCCAACAGACAGAACATTATCAGAAATCATCTCAAAACAAAAGTATTATCAAGATCCTGCTAGAAAGCCAATTCTAGTAATTAAGGGACTCATACAGTATATTCAAGTACCACGTCAATAAAAACCTAAGTATTTACCCTCTTAGATACTATTGTTTGGAAAACAAATCTTTCCATTTTGCTAAACTTATCTTCATATTCCCTGCTTCCCTGCTGCAAACCCCTCCCAAGTTTATTTTTATCTTGCAATTTCAGTGTATACTACAACTTTACTCAAATAATGGAAAAAATAAAGCAAACAATACAGTGATCCTTTTGAATATACTAGTAATAGATTTCCTTTTTCATAAGATGTGGGTTTAGCATCAACATTTTGATCACCTTGAAGGAGGATTTATATAGTTCTGTTTTACTTTTCCTACCTTTCAATTCAAAGTTATATAATATATTCCAAAATGGCAACTAAGAATATGGTTTTGGGTAATTCCTTTCTCCCCTCTGAGGCTCATTTTTCTCATCATAAAAATAAGGTAATGAGCTTCACCAAGGACCTTTTAAGAATGATCATTTTGTGATTCTGTGTCTAAGCTCACAGAGAAAGAATTGTAGATGTGACAGTCCTTTTTTGGAGTGTCCATTCACTGTCCCAGAAATATAGATTAGTCTAGACTTATGTACTTTGACTCGCATAGTGACTTTAGCTACCTCTGGTCACACCTAAGTAAGATATATCATGTGTCTAGACTGTGTGGATAGGTTATTGATGGAATGAGGGCAGAAGGACTGTCTTTGTATCTTAGAGAAGCTGGCACTCTGCAACTGATGGCTGCTTGATCTTGATGCCTCAAAGTCTCTAATTCAGCTTTCTCTGTAGTGTTTGGTAATGGAATCTCCTCAGCTCAGAGATACTTAAAACACATACCCTTTTGTTTTTGCTTCCAGGCCTCTATACCTGTTGATTCTTATTGTTTTAACTGTTCTTACTGTTTCTGAAAGGATCTTGGAGGTGGTTGGATTCTCAGCATGGTTTCCTTAAAGACTACCTCCAGGCTCTCAACTGCCCATCTACAACAAGGATAGGCTTTTCTTTGAACATAATTTATTTCTGCCTCCTTTGGAAAAACCACATGTCTCTAATTGCTTCAATAATCTAACCTTCTTGCCTACTCTTCATTTAGAATTTTTTTTTTAAATGTAACTGTCCAAAGATGCACTTTCTCTCTGATGAATTAACTGCTGTTTTTTTCACAGTTCATAATTTAAGTAAATAGAGTCACCTCACTTTTCTTTGTACTTCTCAATGATATACTCCCAGTTTTCAAGATGGAATGAGAAAGAAAGAATTACTTTTACCCATCATATTCTTCCCTGACGCTTCTTTCTCATTTGCTTTCATGTTCCTCCCAAAACACTATTTATTTCTGTGTTAAGCAACTCTTGAATTCTCAACTTTTAATAAATGGCATTGTCCCCTGCTTATGCCCTCCTCTCCTGAACCATGGAAGATGGTAGGCCTTTTGGGAATTTCAGGTAACAGCCAAACCCCAGATGTGGAGAAGAAACATGAAGCCCCAGAGCTTGTGAGAATTGGAAGTATGCAGCATTTTCTTCAGGGGTTACTCTAACATATTTGAGAAGTCTCATTCCTTCTAGAGGCTAAACTCCACACCTGAGACTCAAAATTATTAATAGATCTGCAGGTTTTAACAACCTCCATGATTCTCTAGTTGAGAGGATATCCTGGTCTGATGTTGCCATGAGCACTACAAACATCCTTATCATTTTCCAGTGTTGACAAGAGCCTTGATATCAGTTCTTTCATCACTCCCCATGCTCATGGGCAGCCCACCACTGCTACTTCTGGTTCACATGCCTTGGATGCAATAGAGTGATTCCAGTGCTGAAATACCACTCATAGCCTGATTCTTCAGGAGACAAGTTTCACATTTATTCATCCATCTATCCATTCATCCTTCCAACCAGCCAACTAGCTAGGCCTTTCATATTTCCATCCTTCCATTCATCTAGTTATCCATTTAACAAATATTCCTTGAGTGCCAGCTATGTGCCAGTTTCTGTAGTAGGCATTTTGGGGGAACATAGATGAATAAGATAAAATCCCTGCCCTCAAAAAGTTAAATAATTGGAGACAGGCAGTGATAACTAATACAGCTTAACCGTAAAGAATAAATAGGAAATGACTGGGAAGAAGTTGAGTGAGGTAGAGGGAAAGGACATTCAAAGCAAAGTACACAGTTTGAATAAATTCAGAGAGACATTTTAAATAAGCATCGAGGTTTTGAGGAATAACACAAGTATTAATGGTTTAATATAGTCAGATTTGGGCTTCCCTGGTGGCTGAGATGCAAAAGAATCTGCCTGCAATGTGGGAGACCTGGGTTCAGTACCTGGGTTGGGAAGATCCCCTGAAGAAGGGGTGACAACCCACTCCAGTATTCTTGCCTGGAGAATTCCATGGGCAGAGGAGCCTGGTGAACTATAGTCCACGGGGTCACAAAGAGTTGGACACGACTGAGTAACTCAACACTTTCACTTTTACTTTCGTGGCCAGATCTGGGGAAATAGGGAAGGCAAGCTGAAACCACTCTGAAAATATACTTGGTTGTTATGCTA